AGGCAGACCACCTGGATTTGAAACCCATCCTACACTGCCTACCGAGGTGACCTCTGGCACATTAGCTACCTCCTCCTTCCCTCAGCTTTCTTGTCCGTAAAATGGGGGTAGTATCCTAAAGGATCTTTATGAGGATCCAATCATATTAAGAAAGGCACGAAAACCTGGGTCTGGCATATCCAGTCACTGCTCTGTGTGTGCTGGTTGCAATTCTTATCCATCTTCTCTTCTGAAAAAGAAGTCCAGGTTTCCTTTAGGAACTTCATTCTACTTTTGGTCCGTGTAGGTCATTCAGAGGGGGCCCATCCTACTTCTGGTTGAGGGTGAGAGATGGACAAGGAGGGGACTGTTTTCTACAGCTCTGGGACTTGGTGCTAGGGTGTGCTAAGTCACGTCAGTTGTGTCTGACTTGTTGTGACCCCATGGACTGTAGCCCACCAGGCTCCTCTGTCCCTGGGATTCTCCAGGCAAGAATACTAGAGTGGATTGCCATGCCCTTCTCCAGGGGATCTTACCGACCCAGGGAGCGAACCCAGATCTCTGACACTGCAAAGAAATTCTTTATCATCTGAGCCACCAGATGTGCCCCAATCTGCTCTACCCCAACATACTAAGGGACTGGTGTGAAGCCAATAAGCATTTCTCCAGGGCTGTACTGACACTAGTGGAAAAGAAGCTTTCTTTCCGTGGTAACCTCATTTGAAGTTTAGACCCCAAGATGAGTAATACAAGAAGAGAGCCCAAATTGACTGTCATAGGACCCAATGACTATCTTTTCTTTCTCTTTAAGCTGGTTCAAATTGACTTTCTATTATGCAACAGAGGATGTCCTGATTAATATTATTATAGTAATATTAATTTGTTCTCATTATTGAGTCCTCAATAATAATCCATACATAGCATGCATGACCTATCCCCATTTTCCCAAGGGTGTGACTGTGGATGAGAAAGCTACGATTACATTTCTGAGATCTTGCAACAAGCAAAGAGCAGAACCAGGATCTATTTGACTCCAAAACTCTTTTGTACTTACATCATTTTTTTTAATTCACAAAGGAATTAAATCTTTTTTAATCAATCTTTTTACTGGTATAGTTTGCTCATTTACCATGAACTTTTATACTTGATCTTAGGCCCTGGTGGCTCAGAGAGTAAAGAATCTGCCTGCAATTCAGGAGACCCAGGTTTGATCCTTAGGTCAGGAAGATCATCTGGAAAAGGGAATGGCTACCCACTCTGGTATTCTTGCCTGGAGGATCCGATGGACAGAGGAGCCTGGAGGGCTATAGACCATGGGGTCACAAAGAGGTAGACATGGTTGAACGATTAACACTTAGCCAAAAGGCCGAGAAGCAATACCAGAAATCTTTTATAAAGTACAATCATAATTTCTATTTGACACTCTTCTGTTTATCACATAAAAGATGACAGAAACCACCATTGCCCTCAAATCTGAGGATTCCAATAGAAGATCTGAAATGCAAAGCACTCAAAATCGTGGCATTAAACTAACAGAACATGCGCCTTGCTCTTTCTGCAAAAATCCCCTCCATGATGCCATTCTCTTCTTATTTATCATTCCACTTTTCCCAGCTTTCCTCCATTTTAAAATTGTCACGCAGCAAAATCTGATGCAAGACATATTTTGGTGTGCAGCTACTTGGATTTTAACACATACATAGATTCATTTAATAACCAGAAAATCAGAATTCAAAGCAGTTCTATCACCTAGAAAACTCCTCTGTTAACACTTTTGCAGTCACTACAACATTGTCTTTTGAAGTAAGTTATATAGAAGTGAACAAAAATGCAAAGGATCTATTGGCAGCCACCTCCCTCCACCATTTTTGGAGGAGGTTCTCCTCCAAAGTTCATTTCCATCCTCTCCTCTGTGAGGTTCTGAACATACAACTAAAGACACAGAGGTTTATCGTCCCTTCTTTTGGCTGGTCCCCATGCTTAAGTAAAACTGATGTTGACGGACTCCACATCTAACTCAACTTTTGTCTCCAGCAGACAGCAAGAACAATGCAGGGTCTACTTGTAGTGGGCACACCAACTCTCACCCAGATCTTGGCCACAAACCCATGGTGAGCAAAGGAGCTGAGTCCCTGAACGAGAGTGATGCTGACCCGTGTTAGCATGCCTGCCCTGAAGGCATTCTTCAGCAGGAGATGGTGGGAACAAGAGTGAGCGCCAAGCTCTGCCAAACCAACCACAGCTGGCGAGCAGCTGCAAACTCATTTGGAAAGAGCTCCTCGCCCAAGAGGAAAAAGAGCTCATAATCTGAAGAAGACTCCAAGTCTTGAGTATGTGGCATGAGATGCAGGAGGTGGCGCAAGAGAAAAGCCAAGCCACAGAGGTCAAGTCTCCACTGGTGTCAGAGGACATGGCCCCACTCCTTGGCCAGAGACCAGCGCGGCCAGGGCTGACCAGCAGAGGTCTCAGCGCTCATGCATAAGCTGTGAAGGAGACCCCACGGGGTCAGGGCACTGTCTCTCTGCATCTGATCCTTTCACACCATCCGATCCCCTTCCAGATACAACAGGCATCATCCTCGGATAAAGGACAAACATCCCTGTGTGTCTAAGGCTTTCAGTGCCTGGTCCGTGGTTGCTTTCCCCCTCTCAAGCCACAGGCCTCTATCCACTTCTTAAGACTTGCCACGCTTCTTCCTACAAACCTCCATCTCTGCACCCCACCCAGGAATCTCTACCTTTTGTCCCTCTTCAATTGCAACTCAAATTATCAATCCCTGGGGATGCTGTAATGTTCATTTCCACAGCTTTGGGGCATCCTGGAGTATCTTCCCATGTAATGCATACATGCCATCAGCCTTCAACAAAGGACGTTTGGAGCAGAAAAGAAATACAATCTCCAGACACATTCTGTGAGTCTCGCCAAACGGCACTCACTGCAGCAGGCTTTGCTCCTCTCTGCCTTGAGGATCTCATTTCCGTCTTTAATGAGAAACTCTTCCATGACTGCTTCTCATTCTGGGAGAGCCCCTCTGGGTAAGGAGCGTGCCTTTCCCTCTGTCTTTGTTCTGCCTGTCAGAGCCCAGAGGACTAATCCCCTCCCACCCCTACAGCGAAATAGCAGTGCTAAAAGAAAACCAACCCTGGTGATTCTTCTGGGTTCATTTTCAACCTCACTGGCATCTAAGCCTCTGAAATCCAGGAGATTAATTTATTGTCCATGTTGATCAACTCCCTTACTCCTCATGGCAGCCAATAGTAGATAGAGACTTCAGCTGAGCAGATTCTGACATGTTCCTGGGTGAAGCCATCCATGACCCGTGGTTCAGAATCCCAAAACACGTGAGTAGGGTTGATAAACTCTCTCGCAAATCCAGACCATTCTCCTCATCTCCTGTGTGGCTCTAGTAGTTAAGACCCATGCCCTTTTGTCTGCTCTCCAGCCTGGACCCCCAATTCCATCCTTGCCCGTTTCTGGTCAGCCTTGCAGGCGAGTAGAGTTTGAAACATCCCAAATACAAACCCAAACTTCTTCCTTGATTGCAAACCCACCATTAGAAAATGGTGTTTCCTACAAATACAAATGATATTTGTAATCCATATGCAAACTTTTCCTTTATGCATCTGATTTTCATTAAATGAACTCAATCACTGTGTCCTAAACAGATTAAAGAAACTTTTAAAAACTGTAAGTAGATTGTTTTAAAAATAGCTTACTGACATAAAAGGACAGAGCAGGATCCTTTGTCAGAGAAAGAATGTAACCCTCAGTCAAAAGTAAAACAATGTCACTAAATTATAGCTAAACAGTATCGATAGAATTGTTTGTCAAGAGTTATGGGTCTCTTGGTTAAAAAAGTAGAATAACACATGTGCCGGGTCTTTGTGTTTGTTACAGAAACAAACAAAAAGCAAACAAGACTCCAAACCCCGTCTCCTTGATGTAAACCCAAGGTCTGAGAAATAACTGTCAGGAGAACAACGGCATCATTCCTTCACTAAGTGATCCTATCTGCAGACCCCACCATCCATCATCTGAAATCTGAACGTCACACTTGGGCAATGCTGGACCTCAGGAAACATGGTCTTCCTTGGCCAAACATCTTTAATGGGTTTTTCTTTGTTTCTGTTTCTTGGCGGTGGGGGTTGGCTACACCCCACAGCATGTGGGATCTTAGTTTCCCAACCAGGGGATGAACCCATGCTCCCTTCATTGGAAAAGCTCAAAGTCTTAACTACTAGACCACCAGCGAAGTCCCTACCAAACATCTTTTAAAGGAGGTCACCTGGCATTCCACCTAGACCCACTATTTTTTTTTCAGGGTCCTGGTGATATCAGCTTGTTCTAATCAAAGCCTTCATCTCCCCTGGACACCCGCACCTGGCCGGGGCCAGCCTCCGCGGGTCCATCTCTGTGTTCTGTCCCCTCCCTCTCCTTTCTCCCTCTTTGGCTGAGTTAGCCACCCAAAGCTTCAACTACCTCCTTGCTGCCGTCTAATTCTGGCCCCATTCAGCAAGGTCATGCCCTCCCTCTCTCTTTCACTGGGAGGGAGATGGACGCAAGGCCCTTGTCCACTGGTGTAATAAACAATACTCTCCTTAACACTCTACCTACCCACTGAGCCAGTCTCCCTTCTGGCCACTTGTGGAGATGCATGTTGGACCCTGATCTCCCCAAAACATGTCACCTTCTTCCCCACCTCTGTGTCTTCATCTCTGCTGTCCCCTCTGCCAAGAGAGCCTTCATCAGACACTGCTCCCCGGGGGCATTACACACACCAGACCTCTTCCTCATCCATGAGACTCAACTTGTACATTTCAAGCCTTGCAAGTCTCACGACTCTTTTCTGAATATATGCTTTATCTAGTTGGCACAGTGATTCAAAACTCAGTAGGATGCTTATATTAACATCCAGATTTCCAAACTGGCTGAGAACGAGGCAGAACGGAACACGCCCTCCCGGTAGAGCAGCCCCCACACAGGGGGACCCTGCTCTTGAGTTGAAGGCCGCCCGACACGCCATGCAGTCAGGCCCCTACATACGGGCCTTCGAGTTGCAGACTTTCAAAGACGCGAACGGGTGTTGCACCAGCGTCAGGAGTGAGTGAAATCGCACCGCCCTCTCGCATGTTGCTGACGGTCCTTCAGCTCTGCCATCTCCAGGCAGTAACTTTTCTTTCCTGTTCACTCGATTCCAACCCTGGTATGCCAGCTCTTGTACTAGACTACTATATTTCTCAAGATACTGTATTATAAGATTAAAAGTGTTTCCTTATTTTTTGTGTTTGCTTTTTTATGTATTATTTGTATGAGAAGTATTATAAACCTATAACAGTACAGTACTATATAGTCAATCATGTTAGTTGGGGACTTAGGCTAACTTTGTTGGAAATAGTGAAGTGAAAGTCGCTCAGTCGTGTCCGGCTCTTTGAGACCCCATGGACTATACAGTCCATGGAACTCTCCAGGCCAGAATACTGGAGTGGGTAGCCTTTCCTTCTCCAGGGATCTTCCCAACCCAGGGATGTAACCCAGGTCTCCAGCATTGCAGGCGGATTCTTTGCCCGCTGAGCCACAAGGGAAGCCCACAAATACTGGAATGGATAGCTTTTCCTTTCTCCAGGGGATCTTCCTGACCCAGGAATCGAACCAGAGTCTCCTGCATTGCAGGCAGATCCTTTACCAACTGAGCTCTGAGGGAAGCCCAGCTTTGTTGGACTGGCAAATAAATTGGACTTACGAACGCACTCTCAGAATGGAACTTGCTTGGATGGAAGGGGTTTACTGTATTCCCCTACAATCATCCTTTGTCTCACTTCACTAGTGTGTGATTCCTGCCTGGACATAGCACAGGTAACTTTGTTATTTCCGGACTTCGGCCAAGCATCTCTTCTTCTGTAAAACATTCCCAAGATCGACTAGGTCCTACAGGCTGCCCATTTCTCTGAGCCCCCATGACACTTTCCAGGGGGCTCACTGCTTTAAAGACAGCTCATTATAAGTGATACAGAATGTCTGTGGGTGTGGACCCTAGCAAAAACAGAAAGAGAAAGTAGGTGCGGCTGACTGAGTTCTCATCCTGTGCTAGGCACTATGGCTTTGCAGTATTATCTTGTAACGGCCTCAAATCAACGTTCCAAGTGGATTTTATCATCTCCAGTTCACAGCTGGAAAAATGGATACTGATTCGAAGCACGAAAGGCTCTCAAGTTCAGGTCACAGAGTCACTATGCGAGAGAACTGGGATTAAAGTCCGGGACTTTGGGCTCCCCTGTTGGCTAAGATCGTAAAGAATCCACCTGCAACGCAGGAGACCTGGGTCGGGAGCATCCCCTGCAGGAGGAAATGGCAGCCCACTCCAGGATTCTTGCCTGGCGAATCCCATGGACAGAGGAGCCAGGCAGGCTACAGTCCATGGGTCGCAAAGAGTCAGGCATGACTGAGCAGTTAACACTTTATTGTCCCAGCTCCAGAGTATAAATGGTTTTAAAGGTGGTCCTCTGTTAATGCCAGCTTTGAGCACAGAAATTTTAATCCTTGCACAGATGCTGCGAGAAGAGCAAAAACTAGGAACCACACCAGGTCTGTTGGAAACTGAAGCCAGAACTGCATCCTGGTGCCATCATCTCTTGTCTGCAAGACCAGAAGAAATCCTGGTAGTTACACGGCCAGGTCCCAGGGGCACTCCAGAAGGTCAGGCTTCACGAGGTTTTGATAAATCTCCACCATAACTCAGAACTAAATGTAGGCATCAAAAGGGTGCCCCAGATTGAAAACTAGACTATTTACCTGGCAATGGGTGAAGATACCAGTCCAGGTACAAATGCATCAATTGGAAACAGATATTCTTGTATTTTACACATTTAATTCCCTTTAGTGTATCTGTAAGGTGGTATATGGAGCTTCCCGTGTGGTGCTAATGGTAAAGAACTCACTTGCCAATGCAGGAGACATAAGAGACGTGGGTTTGATCTCTGGGTTGGGAAGATCCCCTGGAAAAGAAAATGGCAGCCCACTCCAGGATTCTTGTCTGGCGAACCCCATAGACAGAGGACTGGTGGGCTACGGTCCACAGGGTCAGAGAGGCAGACATGACTGGAGAGACTTAGCACACACAGCGCGAGGCATATATAGCATCAGGGCTAGGAATACAGCTTCAGAAATAAGAATCTCTGAATTTACATCCTAGCCTGTGATGTAGCTCGGGTGGTCTTGGGCAAATCTTTTAACCTTTTTGAGCTTCCTTGTTTTCACATTTTATAATGGGGATAAAGAAGGTCCCTGGTATATTAGCTGTTGTCAGTATCTGGCGGTACTTCAGGATGCCTGATCCAGGGTAAGTATTGAAACAGGAAATGCTCCAAACTCTCAGCACCCACCGCGGCACCAAAGCATCACCACTCACACAACACAGCTTTACTCGGACCCAATCTGAAAGTTGCCTTAACTTTGAAAACCTCTCAAACTTCTTCCATGCAATTTTGTATCAGATGGGAAACTGTATAGCCTCACCAAGCCAGGCGGTAAGTGAGGAGAGAAAGCCCTGTCGGTATTTATAGCCTTTGACAAATGGGCTCTCATCTTCTCCAGACAGTCTCTCCCCCTGGCTGATCCATCAGTTTCTGTTCTCATCACCTGGACCTAGGTCCTCATAATAGTACTGAAATTCAGATGGATTTTACACCACAAATAAAAATGAACTTAAACTCCTCCGTTTCCCACCAGCAACGCAGGTTGTGTAAAGTCAAACGCAGTAGGTTTTGCAAGGCTGGGCAGCCACCCAGAGGGATGGGTTACCTGCCATCACCTTGGCTAAACCTGCTTTAGCTCCGTGGCCCTGACCTGTGGGAGGAGACCTTTTGAGCCCCACTTCCCACTTAGAGGAAAAAAAAAAAAGCTACCGGCTTTTCAGATCTGCCTGTGACATCCTCTGGGTGATTTTTAGGAAACAGCCAGGAAACCATCCAAGTGCGGGGCCCAGACTCAGGGGCGCTGCTCACGGCTGGGCTAGAAAGCGAAAGAGAAGCGGAAAATGAAACCACACTCCGGTACACACCATGAATCCCTCCATAAACAAGCAGGCAGGCTTCTCCAAGAGACAATTAGCTCACCGTCTGCCGATGGAAAAGAGGTGGCTAGGATACAGAGAAACTGAGAAATGGAGAGCAAAAAAAAAAAAAGATTCTCTCCTTCTGTCAACAGCCTCAGATGGAGCCCAGACTGTACAGACCAGGGAAAGTGGTTTCATGGCTCTTCATTAAGATGAGGGCTCTCTCCACCTCTCGAAACTCACCATTTATCTCCCATCATTCTATCCGGTCTAGGATCAAGGGGAAAATGACTCATCTCAAGGTAAGTGGCCCTACCGAGTGGGAGAGACGGGATGAGACACGAAACTAGCGCTCGGTGGCCCAGTCGTGTCTGACTCTCTGTGACCCCACGGACTGCAGCCCGCCAGGCACCTCTGTCCCTGGGGTTCTCCAGGCAAGAATACCGGAGCGGGTTGCCATGTCCTCCTCCAGGGGATCTTGCCGACCCAGGGATCGAACTCGCATCTCCTGCGTTACCAGGTAGATTCATTACTGCTGAGCCAGCTGGGAAGCCCCCAGGGACCCTATTAGACACTACCGAAAGCTTGAGATCTTCTGTTTTCTAAAATTCTTCTGTCGAGAAGATGCTCAACAATATGTCAGACGAAAACGCAGATGGAAGCCCACAAATATATCCCTGTATGCAGAATATAGGGAGGAGAGGCTGCCAAGGAGGATGGAGGTGAAAGGAAAGGGAGACAAGGAAAAAAGGAAGCAATTCCTGGGAAGCCATCTAGCCCAATGGGTATCACGTTAAGCTTTCCTAACTAAAGGCAATCGAGCTTTAAAGAAAATGCTGCTAGTTCTCCTCCAGAGCTCTCAGCATTTCATAAAAATCCACCTAGGGCCAAGGGGCTGTCTCTTAAGAGGCCGGCTGACTTATTATTTTGGCAACTCTGTCATCTCCTGTCATTTCAATTCCACTTTATCAAATTACTGATTTTGCCAGAAGCATTCGGAATGGATAGAGGGGGATGTGCAGGCGTGTGTGCGTGCACACACACACACACACATACACACTCATGCTGGAGAGAGTGTCATCACTTCAGTTGTGCAATTTCATAATTACACGTCAGAGTGACAGAAGTACCCAAACGGCATCCTAGACAGGGCATCCTAGATGCCGGGGCAGCCGTCTGCCTCCACGACCTCACGCCCCATCTCTGGCCGGAGGGTTGGGACTGGCACTTCTCTCCTGAGGGTGGGGGACACTACCCCTCCTCCAGGGGGACTAGATTTCACCTTGACCTTCCCACTGAGAGACAGGACCCTGAGCGGCAGAATTACCTCCTGTATCTCACCCCACTTCCAACCATATTAGGACATCCAGAGAAGAGACAGCCCTGATGTGAGACTCACAAACATTAAAAAACAAAAAATAAAAAAATCAGAACAGCACTCAGAGGAAGAAAAAAGAAAAGTCCTTCTCTTGAACAAAGGGAGTAAAATGCCATGAGAGTGTAAGATGGCAAAAGGTGGAAGCAGGCACGGTGGTGGGTGTGTTGCTAGGAGTCACCACCAGTTGAATACAGTCAAAGGTTTAGTGAATTCACGTGTCATCACGAAACACAGGAGGGCCTTCTGGTCCCTCCCTCCCATGTCCTCCACCTACTTTTGGTCTGCAGGACAACTTTAGTCAAAGAATACGTTTAATCAGAGAAGTGAGAAAAGGCAGAAGCAAAGGAAAACAGTCAAACAAGACCAAACAATACAAGCTTGTCATTGAGCTGAGTCAAGGACCTTAGTTTCTTCTTAAGGACAGAAAATAAAACTGAGTCATGACCTGTGAGCAGTTTTGCAGATACTGAAACCCCCACCTGGTGGAAAAAGTTAACTACCTGATACCAGCGTGCAGCTATGATAGGAGTCGCCATAATTTTGAGAACTGGCCTCCAGGAAACGGGAACAAACTGGCGCTGGAACTGAAGACTAACTTGAAACAATCGCCATGACACAGCCACCGCCGGACCCATTTCAAGAGGACTGTCAGGGTTGACTGTGCTGTTTCTG